AAACTTTTATCAGAATATTACAAACAGTTTATCAGTTGACATTCTTGGCATCTTGCATAGAAACCGAGAAAAATTGGCTCGAAGTTGACAAGTATTACGGTAATCATCGAAATTCGAACTCCCCAGAATGCCCCCCAACGACGATCTTTTTGTCTACGACCCAGCAAATCTTGACGATGACCAAGAGTATGAAGAGATGGAGCGAATTGTGGGTCAACTGATGATTCAACAAGTCAAAATGCAGAGAAAACGAAAGAGAGTTATTGCCCACCTCCAGCCAATCGCGTCCACGGAACAAATTTGGCTATAACTCTCTTCAAAATTGAGCTAGAAACTTGATATTTGTTGCAAAATGATTAGAATTTTTTAGGTTTCAATTTACTTATAAACTAAAAAAAATACCTACCTTTTCATATTCCATTGTTAAGGCTTTCGCCACATTCACATAGAAGTTCCCTTCTTCCGGTGCCAAATTGGTCCACATGTTTTCGAGACTAGCTGTCGTTAGTTCTGAAAATATACAATTTTAACGATTGAATAAAAAATACTCTAAAACGGGATAACGAGAAAAACCAAAAAAATCCAAGGTGTGGGATTTCAAAAGCACTTTGAGGTCAATTATCTCAGTTTCTATAAGAGATATCAAACTTTTGTCAACTGATAAAATATTTATCATAATATCAACAACATTTTTGTAATTTACTAATTTTTGATATCTTTTACAGGAACCGAGATGAATCAGCTCAAAGTTGACTGTTAGGGGCGTGTGCTACAGTGTGCGTCGTAAAGAAGTCTCCCGAAAGAGCGTTCTTTGAGCTCAATTATCTCGATTCTTGTAGAAGATATAAAACATGTGTCAACTAACAAAATTTTAATCATAATACCACCCACATTTTTTCAGTTGACAGATTTTTGATATCTCTTACGGGGACCGAGGTAAATCGGCTTAAAGTGGGTGAGTGCTACAGTGTGAGTCATGAAGAAGCCTCCCGAGCGAGCGTTCTTTAAGCTAAATTATCTCGATCGTTGTGAGATATATATCAAAAAGTGGTCAACTAAAAAATTTTTATCATAATATCAACACTATTTTATCAGTTGACAAAATTTTGATATCTCTTATAGGGACCAAGATAATTGAGGTTAAATGATACTCATGCGGGAGACTTTTTATGACGCACACTGTAGCACGCCCAAGGCATATATTTGGATGAAAGTGTTTCGCAAGTACCAGGGAGTGTCTAGGAAAAAAACAAAGATGTTAGTATTTTT